TCTCAAAAAATATATATATATATATAAAAAATATAAAAAGCCAGGTCAGGCACAGAGGCTCATGCCTGTAATCCCAGCACTTTGGGAGGCCAAGGCGCTTCAGCCCATCAATTTTCTTTTTTTTCGGAGACAAGGTCTGAATCTGTTGCCCAGGCTGGAGTGCAGTGGTGCAATCAGTTTCCGTAGCTGTATGACGGGGACGCTGATAATCGCATTCACCTCATCAGGGTGTGCTGGCTGATCTGAACGTATAGTGGCATTTACTAAAAAACAGCATGAAGCTGGATGCCATGGCTGGCTCACACCTGTAATTCTAGCACTTTGGGAGGCCAAGGCAGGTGGATTGCTCGAGCTCAGGAGTTCAAGACCAGCGTGGGCAACACAGTGAAACCGCATCTCTACAAAAAATTTTAAAAATTAGCCGGGCATGATAGACCACGCCTGTAGTCCCAGCTACTTGGGAGGCTGAGGTGGGAGGATCGCTTCAGCCTGAGAAGTGGAGGTCGCAGAGATCCTGCCACTGCCCTCCAGCCTGGGTGGCAGAGTGAGACCCCATGTCAAAAAGAAGAAACAACAATAAAAAAAAGCAGCACGAAAATAAGAAAAAGCACAAATGAATGAGTCAGGGGTGTATGTCTCCAGTTTGTTCACCAGCAGTAACACTTATGCTTGTGGTAACACAGGATTGCTGGCCTGCTATGTGCCCAGCTACGTGCCCAGCTATGCGCCCAGCAGCAGGCAGGGGCTTATGACATGTCCACGTCACAAGAATGCTGGATGTGCATAATGATATGAGCCCTGTGACGGTGGGTAAGGGAGGCTGAGCCACTAGCCCGAGGTTGTGCAGCAGGTTGGTGGCAGAGCCAGGATTCAAACCCAGCCTGACTATAGAACCCAGTCTCTTTCCCTACTCCCCTGATCCCCTATGTCCTCATGGGCCTGAGTGATGCCTTCTCCAGGTCCTTCATGGTGGGGTGAGTCTTGGCATTGGGCCCCAAATGGACGCTCATCCTCTTCACATTATAGCCAGAAATGCTGCCTTGCCCATCTCTAAACTATACCAACCTCTTTCATCTCCAGGCCTTCCCGGATGCTGTCATCCTGACGAGGAATAGCTTTTCTACTGGCGAATTCCTATACACTCACAAAACCCCAGTCCCAATGCCCTTTCTCCTAAGAAGCCTCCCCTGGCTCCGCCTGAGACAGTTTGTCCGTGTGTGTGTCTGCCACCAGGTGTAGCTACTGCCCACAGCAAGGAAAGGTAACTCTGTGGCTCACTAAGGAGTGACCTCAAATAAGTCCTCGCCTCTTTTCAGCCTTGTTTTCCTTCATCGGAAAACACGGAGGGTAACAGAACTGGCACACTGGGTTTTGTCAGGCTCAAGGGAGAGGAAGCAGGTAAAATCTGTGCTTAGCATGGAGCCTGGTGCTGAGTTGATGCTGGGGAAACAGACACCACCACCATCGTTACTGTTATTTATGAATACCAGCATTGTTATTTATCTCTGAATCTCTCAGGACTCAGCACATAGCCCTCAGCGTTCAGCCTCATTTGGGGAGCATAAAAGTTCCACTTGGCGACCGGGCGCAGTGGCTCACACCTGTAATCCCAGCACTTTGGGAGGCTGAGGCAGGTGGATCACGAGGTCAGGAGATCGAGACCATCCTGGCTAACACGGTGAAACCCCATCTCTACTAAAAATACAAAAAAATTAGCCGGGCGTGGTGACGGGCGCCTGTAGTCCCAGCTACTTGGGGGGCTGAGGCAGGAGAATGGTGTGAACCCGGGAGGCGGAGCTTGTAGTGAGCTGAGATCCAGCCACTGCACTCCAGCCTGGGCGACAGAGCAAGAACCCGTCTCAAAAACAAAAAAAAGTTCCATTTGGCAAAATGGAGGGCCCCCGGAAGGAGGTGGGGAGCATGCTTACACACACACAGCCATAAATGCACACAGGTAAACAAACACGCGGACACCTGCACACTCCGTGCCAGCTTCTTACCTTCTGCTGCGCAGCCTCCAACAAGCAGGACCACAAGGAGGCCCATGGGACCAACCACGGATACCATGCCAGGGCCCCAGGTGGGCGCCATGCTTGGCAGCGACCTCTGATCTCCGCCCTGGAGGGGGATGGCCCCCCGGTCCCTCACAGAGAGGCCTCGAGCCGAGCGTCAGATGGGGCAGCGTCTGCAGAGGCAATGGAGGGCTGTGAGAGGCGAGTGGGGAAATCCAGGAGACCTTCATGGAGGAGGTAGTGGGAGGGTCACATGGAGCAGGGGAGGGTCCTGTGGGGGCTGGTCATGGGAAAATGGGGAAGGATCACGGGGTGATGGGATGGAATGAAAGTGCTGGGCCCCTGCTATTGAATTAATGTGTCCCCCCGCCAAAAAGAAAATCGTATGTTGAAACCTAGTCCCCACTCGGATGGTAATAGGAGGTGGAGTCTTTGGTAAGTGACTAAGTCATGAGAGCAGAGACCTCATGAATGGGATTAGTATCATAAAAGCTCTCCCAGAAAGCTCCCTTGCCCTTTCTGCCACATGAGGACACAGGGAGAAGATGCTTTCCATGAACCAAAAGACAGCCCTCACCAGACACCAAATCTGTGTTGCCTTGATCTTCGGCTTCCCAGCCTCTAGAACTGTGAGGTACGAATTTCTGTCATTTACAAGCCACTTGGTCTGTGGTATTTGGCTATAGCAGCCCAAATGGACTAAGGCAGCCTCCAACCACCAGCGAAACCCCAACCCCAGCATGAGTCCCCAGCCGGGCTGGGACCGTGACTCAGACCAAGCCCCACACCAGGACTGAGGACCTCTGGGGGTGCTGAGCCCCGATTTTCTCCAACTCACAGGCTGCTTCTCAGGAAGGAGGGGACTCCAGACTACGCTGCTGTCTGGCTCTAAAACCTGGTCCCCCAAGTCACGAGACAAATCTCTCCCCACACCTGCCTGTCCCTGTCCTGCTCTAAGACCTCCCATGGCTCCCAGAGCCCCCAGGAGAAGCCACTCCTGCTGACTTCACTGTTTCCCCTCGCTTGGAGGTACAGCCAGGCCGGCCAAGCTCAGTCCCACCTCCAAGCCTTTGCTTCTGCTGTGCCCTCTGCCTGGAATGCTGTCCCCCACCACATGACAGGTCTCAGCTCAGCTGTCACTTCCTCAGGAAGCCCTTCTCTGCCCCTCAAAGGTCAACTCCCCCTACATTCTACATCCCGGAGCGTCAGATATGACTAAGGTTATCCTCCATGGTATTCACCCTGGTTCCCAAATTAAATGAAAAGATGTTCATCATTCAGCACGTTTCTCCTACAAGAACCTCAACTCCTCCCGGGCAGAAGGGTCCCTCATCACACACCTTGAACCCTGGAATGGCCCCCTCCCCATCTCCCCAGTCTCTACTCTGTCCGGAGCCAGGTCAGAGGGCCAGGGAGGGGCAGGGAGAGGCCCAAGGATAAGATCTTTGTTACCCAGTCATGCCGGCACCCAAGCCAGCCCATGCCCTGGGCGGGTCCAGGCTGTGGCCACAGGAACTGGTGGTGCATAATAACGGGGCAGCCCCTGTGATTCTGACTCCCAAAATACCCAGCTGCGGTCACCTCGCCCAGCCCTGGGGCGGTCCCAGGGGAAGGATGGGCGGGTAGTGGCCAGGTCACAGCCTAGGGCGAGGAACGGGATTGGGGGGGCCTCGGTGTACATAGTGAGGCCACAGGCACTTAGTCAGACCGGGCACAGAGAATGATGCCTGCTAAATCAGGCCACAGACATACACAGATATACACAGTCAAATCACCAATACACACCGACACACAGTCAGACTGCAAGCAGTTCTGTATCTGCAAGAGACACAGAAATAAACGTATTCACACAGTCAGGCAGCAGAGATGGGCACATGCACAATCAGGCAAATAAAACTTGCACATAGTCAGACCACAAACACAGACAGGCCCAAAATCAGACCACAGACATACACCAAGCCAGAAAAGATACAGACACAGGGTCACGGTGGGGCAGGCAGTACACGTACACAGTTAGGTTACAGGGAACTGCAAACATGCAATTAGATCAGAGATACCTACAGGTGCACAAGCAGGTCAACGTCACACACAGACACAGGTGCCGGCACACTGTCAGACTATAGATAGGCCACTCAGTCAGCAGACCACAGGTGCATGCACCAGCCAGCCAAATAGAGACGCGCAAAGTCAGATTCCCTTCCTACACACATCTGTGCACACAGCCAGGCTACACAGACACGTACACGCATAGTCACACTCTAGGTACACCTTGCACACAACCAGTTGGGGACTGGGAAGATGAAGGAAATGAGGCCCAGAGCACAGTCCCTTACTCTGAGTCCCCGCCCTGGCCCTTTAAGAGCAAAAGTCACCAACAAGGAAGGCGGTGGCCCCAGATGGAGAAAACAGCCTGTGGCCAGCTGGGGCTAGGGTGACCACAGTGGCTGGCCCTGCCCAGAAATGCACATCTGCTTGGCCACACTGGTGGGGCGAGGTCAGTCCCAGACCACTTTGAGCAGCTGGGCAGGCCTGCAGAGAGCCTCTGGGGAAACTGAGGCAGCACAGCAAACCTGAAGCTCAGAGAGCATGGGTAGGAGTCACTTGCACAGAGAGCCTAGGTGGGGCACACGTATGGAGGGGCCCAGCCACAGCTGGCTCTCCCACATCCCACGGGGACCTCAGGGCAGCCGCCTTCTAAACCAGGCAGCCCTAATTACACCCTGGCTCCCACGGCAGAGGCCATGTTGGGCCCATACCTCCCTGATGTCTGGGCAGGACAAGGCTGAGCCAGGCACAGGCAGGCAGGGCCTGGCCATGGACTCCCCTTAGATCCGCCACTCCAGCCTGTCAGGGGCGGGGACGAGGGGCTATAGCAACAGCGGCATTTGAGGCACGGGTGATGCCTCAGGATCAGGGTGGTGGGAGGGGCCCAGGGAGTGGGGTTCAGACACTACCGCTGCAAAAGACAAAACATTCCAGGGTCCCTTAGGTGCCAATCCTCCCTAGGGGAACCTCTCATGATGGAGATAGGACCCCGCACACCCACGACCCTCCTACTGACTCCTGCTTCCATGAAAACCCCAGGTGTGGGGTCCTCTGCGAGGACTTGGGAGAAAAGATCCCGAAGTCCCATCAGCTCTGCCTTCAGAATCTGTCCCCAAACTGCCCACTTCTTACTCATTCTTCTGCCTCCACTTCTTCCAGCCCCACTGTCACCGGCCTGGATGGACATCGTCACCTCCAGCCGGGTCTCCCAGCTCCCGCCCTCGCCCTCGGTCTGTTCCACCCACAGAAAGCAGAAAGCATCTGCCAGCACCTGAGTCAGGGCCCGTCCTTCCTCTGCCCACAGCCCTCCACGGCTTCCACTTGCCTCGGGGTCAAAGCCCAAGTCCTTCCTGAGGCCCACCAGGTCCTGCACGACCTGCCCCATCCCCTCCCTGCTCTCCCCTCCTCCTTCTCTCCCCTTCCTCCTTCTGCTCCAGCCGCATGGCCTCCTTGCTGTTCCTCCAACACCCCAAGTGTAGTCCAGTCCTACCCCCGGGCCTTTGCATGGGCCATTCCTGGATTTAATATTGGGTGAGGACCAAAAGGTGAATGGGAATTAGGGGCAAGGGTGTCTGTGCACTAGGAACAGCATGAGGAAGGGCAAGGGGGCAGCACCGAGAGGTCCTAGGAGGGAGAGGGGGAGAGATGAGGACAGAGAGGTGCACACAGACCAGACCCACAGGACAGCCAGGAGCCCTACGTGGCCCTGGGCAGGGAGGGACACAGTCAGGTTGGTGCCAGGTCAACCCTCCACCATGCCCTCTTGCAACAAGGCAGCCTGGGCCACCAGCCTTGCCACTGCCAAGAAAGGGAAACTAAGTCAGGTGCAGTCATCTGCAAGCTCCCAGGAAATGACACGGCTGTCAGGAAAAGCATGGCAGCCCATGGTGGCCAGTGAGGCTGCGCCAGGGCTAGGGAGAAGGGAAAGGAGGGACTGCTGGACCTTGAACCCACGTGGGGCTCAGGGAGGGTCTCTGCCCACCCCGCCTGGCTTTCGGGGGCTAGGCTGCCCACCACTAGCTCGTGGTAGCTGGTCGGAGGCAGGCGCTTGCCTTTTACAGATGAGGAAACTGAGGCTCATGGAAGAACAGGGACTCAGCCAAGGCCCCCAGCTGGGGTGGGACTCGGGTCTAGAGCCCATGTTTAATCTTGTGACTGCGTCTTTCCCTAGCCACTGCGGGATCTCTGGACAACTCTCTCTGGGCCTGGTAGAGCCTGCTGGCCGCCTCTGGGGATTCCCCCGCCGTGCTAATGGGGGGCGAGTGGGCACCCATTCCAACCAGGCGCCAGGGCATGGGTCACGCGATCTGGGAGCCGGCTTTGCGTGCCCACGCGGTCCAGGGAGCATAAAGGGGTGATTATGACCCAGGCCGGGCAGCAAACAGGCTCTGTCACCCGCACGAGGCGGGGGCTCCTCGGGCCGGAGGAGGCTCTGGCTGGAGAGTCTACCCTGTCCTGTCCTGGGGCGGGAGTCTGGGGGCCTAATTCTAACCCTCAGGGGCCATCCCATGACCCCAGGGCAGGAGAAGCCGAGGCTGGTGACGCCAGCAGTGGGACTCAGGGAAAAGACCCTAAGCCTGCACATCTCCACCTTCACATCCACCGCCCACCCACATCTCTCCCATGCCACCGCCTGGAATGTCATTTCCAGGACTGGACCCTGGCCTCCAGCCTCCCTGGACCTGGGTCACTCCCACGTCCACTCAAGCAGGGACAGGCAGCGAGGGCCCCCTTGGGCGGCAAGCCCAGGCTCTGTGGCCACTGGTGGGCTCAAGTCAGCTCTGGCCAAGCCACTGTCCCTCCCAGGGCACCATTATCTCCCTATCAGGAAACGGGCTCAGGGAGGGGCTGGGTGGGACTGGCCCTTCCTGGAACTGAAGACGGAAGACCTGGCTTTAATTGACTATTGATTGTATTGGGAAGATGTGACAGCTCAGGGCACTGTCCCCAGGGGTCCTGGTGGCCAGGAGTGGAAGGGTGGGGCAGACAGAGAACCAGGCCCAGCCCTGGAGAGGGAAATCATTAAAGTCCACTGGGTGCCCCTGGGGTGCTGAGCCCCATTAGATGTTCTGTGTTTCCTGCTGTTTAACGGATTAGGAAACCGAGGCTCACTAAGAGTCCTGCATGGAGAAGGGGGCTGGGCTGGGTTAGGATTTGAGGCCAGAGCCCGGTTCTCAATCGAGCTCAGGGTCCACGTCCCCTAGGCGCCCAGGCTGCCAAAATCGCCCCAACAGTGTGTCCCCCATGCTGGTTTCATGGAACAACTTGAGACGCCAAGATCT